AGAGATGCTGTGTCGAAGGTTCGAGGTTCGCCAGAATTGCGGCGAAATTAGTTTCGTTTGCACAAAACATATTCACTACAAGACCAGAACTAGTATGAGTCTCCCTGTTATTGGTCGATGATATGGGTTTTTAGGCCGCTCAAACTGTATAGGACTTATCGGCCCCAGGCCAGCATTGCAAGTTCTCAAAATCCTGGCCTTCAAAGTGGCAGAATGCTGGCGTCACGAAACCATGTCGAACCGACGACTGTTCGCAGATCCAATTAAGAACGAGCCAGGGCCAACTGAAACCCTTAAGCTCTCGCGTCCTTGACTGCACACGACAACCCCTGTATACGTCTGTGTTATGAGCGCCTTGCAACTGGATACACAGTCGCTCCGAAGGCCGCGGACCTAACGAGGGACGTAATCAGACCGACTATATAGCATCACCTCCTTATTTTAACAACGGCTGTTCTCACACCTGCTGTTGTGGTCTTGAAGGACCGCCTTGGACCAAATATCACGAAGTGGCAGTAAGTTTGCTCGGACCTGTTCCTCAGTCTTTACGCACGCAAAAAGGAAGATAGTGAAGAAAATAGCAACTTTGCGACAAAGCTGTCTTTCGAAACAGCTTCGACGCACAATTGTTGGAATATTTTCCACTTGATGATCAACTTGCGCTACCAAAAATTGGCTGAAGCTTCTTTGAACCTAAATCGACACAAGAGGGATCTAAGTTTAGTGACTGTAGACGGCCATTGTCGGTCATCAAGCACAGTCGGCGGGTAGACGGAAAATATTTGTATGAAGGAGAATTTAATATATGAGCTTGCCCATGAGTCTACATTGTTATTGAGGCTCAGGAAGGCATGCACTTTGACAAACCAGGCCCTTTCAGCTGATAGAGGTCATGAAGCAATTGATACTGGATGTTGAGATGTAGCGAGCAGACTGTAGTGTCCAGATGCTGCTTTAAGCGGTTAATATGAGGCATGTTGCCGTTTAGATACTGGGCCAAGACACACCTTCATTGGTAGCAGTGACCCGCATTGAAAAAGCAACCATAAAAACCACGCCAATTATGAGCCAGTTATGTTCCGAAGGCATGTCCCCTGCATGCATCCAGTATCAGATCTCAACATTCTATCACACTGTAAACTCGCTACATTTGTAGCTTCCTCAAGCAGACTCTGTACTTGAGATGCTAAACCTGCAGCTCCTCAGCTAGAGGCGGAGTTCGTGATGTGAAAAGTTCTCGAAGACTGGAGTTCGCCACTAGCATCTGTCTAAGGGCACAAAATGGATTTCATGTGGCTTATTTTTGTGACCGCAGCGCCCCATCAAAAGCTCAACGACCAGTTAGAAACGTGCCCGGGAAGTGCTAATAGCAGTGCCATGCCCGAATCTGAAAGGCTGTTTTACTTTTGAACGCGCGGACTGGCCCCTGCAAAGCCCTGATCAGATCCATCTTCAACATCCTTCTCGTGTTTCTTTCGCAAACTGCGCTCGGCATCCTCTCTCTCACTTGCATACAAGCGAATTATTTTCGCCGTCTTTGTTCTTGTTCGCAGTCGACTTCATTCTTCGACCATTTTTTCATCCAGTCTCGATCGTTACTTGTCACTCGTTGTGCAGACTTATTCGACTTGCAGGCCCTGTACAACATTCTTTCCACCAAAATCGCTTTGATATTAATACCCCTTGCCCATAATTGTGAAACCCGAAAGGGCAAACGAGGCCTTTACAAGCACACTTGTACCACCTACGATTTTCAGACCTACGACCACTGCAACCGACCAGGATCAAATCTGAGATTTTACCGCTGCATGGGAAGTAACAAAATGGGCCGGTTTCTGACAGCTTCTCTTTTGCTGGCCGCAGCTGTCGCGCCTGCTTTTGCGGTCAAGTGTGGTGATGGAAGTCTTTGTCCCCAGGATACACCCTGCTGCTCTCGTACGTGGAAATGATAGCAAGAAACAGCACAAGAATGCTGACTAGTGGCAGAATATGGCGAGTGTGGAACTGGCGCATATTGCCTTGGTGGCTGCGATGCTGTCAACTCATTCAGTCTCGATGCGTGCGTACCGGCGCCGGTATGCCAGACCAAGAATTACGAATTCAACGACCTGAATGGAGTCCAAGCCAACACAAAATACCTAGGAGATGCTACCCAGGCTGATTGGGTTGCGTCTGGAGAGCCAGTAGAATACCAGGGTTCCGTACTGCTCACCATGGCACAAGGTACCGTTGGCACATTGCTGGCCAGCACACACTACGTCTGGTACGGCAAGATTGGAGCAAAATTGAAGACCAGTGCTGGCGCTGGTGTAGTCACTGCTTTCATTCTTTTGAGCGATACCAAGGACGAAATCGACTTCGAGTTCGTTGGCACAGATCTTTTGACCGCCCAATCCAACTTCTATTCGTTGGGTATTACAAACTGTAAGTGAAGTACCAAAATGTTATGTTTCAGACCCGCCGCTAATGTCGACCAGATAGCAACGGGAAGAACTTGACCATCCCTAGTGACTCTATGCAGAATTATCACCTTTACGAAATTGATTGGTCGCCAGATCAGCTCACCTGGTCCATTGATGGAAAAGTCCTTCGAACCCTAAAGAAGTCCGACACCTGGAACGAAACATCCAACCGGTATGCCTACCCTCAGAGCCCGGCAAGAGTGCAGCTATCACTCTGGCCCGCCGGTCTTCCAACCAATCCACAAGGTACCATCAACTGGGCTGGTGGCGAAATCAGCTGGAACTCGCCATACATGACCAATGGATATTACTATTCCCAGTTCGACTATGTTAACATTCAATGCTACGACGCTCCTTCAGATGCCAAGGTTAATGGCAAGACAGCCTACAAGCTCACTAATAAGGCCGCCACGGAGGCCGATTTCGAGATTACGGATGACCCGACTGTTCTTGGCTCCTTCCTCGCAACAGGTCTGGATATGGACCTGGGCAAGAACGCCTCGTCAAGTGTCTCGAGCTCTGCTACCAAGACAGCGAACACTGTCCCGGGAATGAGTGGTGTTGGGCCAGGAAACGACAACCATGCAGGAGACAGCACTGCCACAACGACTGCAGCATCATCGCAGACAAACACGGGCTCTAGTAGTACAGCGACCGGCTTCGTGCAGGGTGGTGGTAGTGGCAGCAGTGGTGCCTCAAATATTCAGGCGGACACAAAAGTGGTGTCAGGAAGTTTGTTTGCGGTCGTGGTCGCGATCGTTGCAATGTGTATATTGTGATGATTGAGGCCGTTTTCTATGTTTAATGTTCGGCCGTTAGCTATGAGCATTGGGACGGACATTCGTTTTTTTAAAGCGCAATTGATGCATTACAATGCCATTCGTGGCGACTTGATTTACTAACATCCAGCGAGCGAGCTGCCTGATTAGCTGTAACGAAACCACATACTTCTAAGTCGATTGATCTCCCTTCATTTAGCTGCCCGTACCACTCACCTCGTGCCAGGATCGAAATGACCAAGTAATTCCGTGCTTTAGGTCGATAAATTCTCCTTTGCAGAGAGCAAGCGCTGTGGTAGGGGAACATAGACGTCATTGATAGTAAAAAGTAGTGATTACACCTTGTGGTGAGATTCGGTGCTGTTTCCATTATTGAAAACTGCGTCGCAAGAATCTCTTCTCTCTTCATTTCTCCATTGTGCGACAACAACTAGAATCCGTGGAACTATCCTGCTCAGGTCGATTGGTTTTACAAGGCTAGCTGCGAGTGCTCTCAACATGCGAGCACCATCAATCGAGCTTCTTAGAGCCCTTCGATCCGCAGTCAGTAGTACGGCACACAATACTCGTTTAGCAACCACATTCTCTCGAACAGCATGCAAAGATGGCATTCGAAACCCGCAACCATATCGACTGAGGACAACTCGAACATTAATGACAAGCCACCGTCTCCGCAACCCTCCACCAGCACCCGGATCGCACAATCTCCGTAACCCTTACGCTCCAACCCACACTGACCGCGGCCCCAAATCCTCAGAAGACACTCAAACCGATTTCGGTGCCATGGACGTCCTAGGCAACATTCCCGCCCCCGCGACCTCTGTCGACGCCTGCACCTCAGACGGTTTCCACCTTGACAATGGCGTCAAGACTGAGGGAGGCCGCGGAATTGTTTTGGTGGGTGGTGAGGCATTCAATTGGGAACCCTGGTGGGAATTGCCAGACTCCCAGACGGGAGAGTCTACGAAACAGCTACGGATAAGTGATATGCTAGACGCGAGGAGAGGAATTCTGAACATTCCACCACGGAGTTTGGGATTGTTGGAATTATTGCACCCGAAGCCGGATTTATTGATCTTTGGGACGGGCGCCAGGCTGTGGATGTTGAGTCAGGAGTGTAGGAAATATGTTAGTGAAGTTTTGGGATGTAGGGTGGATGTTATGGACACGGCGAACGCAGCCGCCGCGTATAATTTACTTGGTAAAGAGAGAGGTGTCGAGGGAGGCGCTGGAGTCGGTGCTGTGTTGCTGCCCATTGGGTGGACAGGGCCAAAACCACAGGTTGCGAAGAGACCTGGTGGGAGGTGAAAAGGATACTTCAGGGGTTACCGGTGGTTCATCAAGGCATTGCGAAATCTTGAAAGCCATTAATAACAAGAACTCAAAGGCTTACTGCACATCCAATGTTTAGGACAAGCTGGACGATTCTGACATAACAAATTGATATATTCACCCAATGCTCAAGACAGAGGCAATCACAACATGACTAGATGGAGCACTGCCTTCTCAGAGCTACTTATGGCCACGAAAACTCGACTTTACCTTCAACCTTCCATGGCGAATTTCCTTTACCGGGCTCGTGCAAGCCTCTTACTGCCTTGTCACAACTGCCTCTTAGCTTTCTCACTGCTCTTTGATTGAGCCGTGCCTTTCCGAGATCCTGTCCGACCATGGTGTTCAAATACACACATTATCGTTTGCACCCATATATTCTTTCATCTCAAACTTTTTGTCATCATATCATTGTGTGCAATGCTTCGGGGCTTTAACTCAGTGGTAGAGTGCTTCGTTTGCATACGCATTTGTGACAGAATAGCCACCACTATCTAACCACATAATCGTTTATCTTCGAAGAAGTCAGCGGTTCGAACCCGCTAAGCTCCATTTTCTTTTTGTCTGTTGCTCCTGATGAAAATTGAGAAAGACAGACGTGTTCTTTGGGACATTGCTAGAATCGGGATTCCTGACCAGTAGTGTTGGATGTTGGGCGATCTCAAGTTTCGTACCTTTTTGGAAGGTACGTGCCGGAGTCGAGGAAAGTGAGGTAGGGAAGGTGCGACCGTCAATGGCGGTTCGTGGGTGGAAAGGTGCGAGGAAGACTGTGGGCAATGTCTGTCATTCTGTCTCATAACCATAGAATGTCAAACGAGCACTTTCAAAGCAGTAATTTTGGGCTCTCGCCGTTAGTGCCTAGTTTATATAGTACCCAGATCGTACTTATTGCTTTCACATTGTGTGGTTGTTGACCAACCTTGCTGGACGCTGATGATGGATTGAAATTTACGCAATTAATTGTAATTGTTCAGGCGATGCGACTCGCATAGGATCAAGGCAACGTTCATTGCTAACAGTCAAAGTCTTGAATCACTCCGAGAAGCAACCGCCTTTTTGATCCATACGATCTGTTGGGCATCTCTGATTCTCCTGTGCTATAGGCTGCTCTAGTGCCTCAAGAGAATCTCTTGTCACATGGTGTTGATGACCGTACCTCAGAGGTGCCCTGATCGTTCCATATCGCCATGAGGCACCAACACAGCAGTCGACATGATGACTCAACAAAAGACTGGGTTAGTGCTCTGACCACATCCTGATATGAGCCATGCCTCTCGTTGCCTTCATGACGCTCCAAAGGACAGGGAGGCATTCGTGCCGAGAGGTAGATAACACATTGGAAAAGGCGCATTTCGCGACCCGGAGATGGATATTTCAGGCTGAGGACACGCAAAGGGCGGTGCTAGCGTGAAGCACCCACGTTCTGAGGACAGAACTTTTTCATATCAGATTGCCATTAAATCGCCATCGACCGTGTTGTCTAAGTATGGAGAAGGAAGCAGCTTGAGATGCAGCCGGCCACCACCGAAGCGTTTCTCATAAAATGGGAAGAGTTTGTTTTCATACTCAAAGATACAAACATGGTCATGACCGTTTCCCTTTTGCCTGTATTCGGTGTTCCACTAATCCCCTCAGCCTCTTTCATCTGTATTAAACCTGCTTGTGTGCTACACTTCTGAATGTCCATATATTTAGCCAAATTATCTTTCCATCGATCAACAAATCAAAACCTGTTGTAGAGCACACCTTCGGAAGTCGTGGGCAGCACGTAGATGCCTGCAACCAATCAATAGCCGTGCTTTGTAAGACTACCCCAGGTTTTCCGACCAGTCTGACACCCCACTCTCCGCTTTATCCAATGCTTAGGCAACCTTTCTCCTCGTTTGATGTCATGTGAATTAAGTTCTGGAGCTAGATTTCAACCTCATGTGAAGAAGCGTCTCTAGATAGCTTCTTGTTAACTTGGTTGATAGCTACAAAAGTCCTCCAGGCATCTTCGACCATCAACGCAGTCCACCAGCGGTCGATTGCTGAAGGTAGGACAATATGTCAGGTCGACCAACATACGTCGGAGGAGTCAACATTGATTCCTCCCGGAACCCATCGACAGTCTCAGAACACTACCCATGGCAAAAGGCTCTTTTTGATGTTGGCATCTTCAAAGATACAATCTACCCGTCTCTTTCGCTGCACTGCTCTCTTGCAGTCGCCGCATACGGTCTTGGCCGTGTGAACAACAATGTTCAGACCAAGGATCTCATCTGGCCTCTTGCCCCCGTCATCAACGGATGGTGGTCAGCTGTCGGGCGTCGAGTGTTCGTCCGAGGACTACCACTCGCCCAAGCTCTTGGCGCTCTCTCCCGTCCTGAGCGACTTATCTTGACTGGTGTCACGCTATGGGGTGGCCGACTCTTCTATCGCGTCTTCACACGAGCCCAGAAGCGAGGCAAGGACGACGAACGCTATGAGGAAATGAAGACTGATCCCGGCTTCTGGAACAAGGCTCTTTTCTCAGTTTTCTTGCCGGAAGCCATCTTTCAGACCCTTATCACCCTCCCGTTCACTGCTCCTTTCCATCACCAAGGTGCCGTAGTGAGCGGCTACCACCCATTCCTTCAAGCGACGGCGGTTGGTCTCTTCAGCACGGGCTTCGCATTGGAAATCCTTGCCGATAGCCAACTAGACGCACACAAGCAGACCAGTGTAGACCAACACAGTCTATATAAGGAAGGCGTTTGGTCTATTGTCCGACACCCCAAGTGAGTCTATCTCCACTGTTTTGAGCCCTACCTCGTGCTGACATGATTAGTTACCTTGGCGACGCTCTCATTCACTTCTCTTTCCCACTCCTTCTATACGCATCTGACATGCTCGCACCGATTGAGATCCTCGGCTCCCTAGCCAACTACGCCTTCCTTCGTTACCTCGGCGGCGACAAGGCCACTGAATCCCACCAAGAACGACGTTATAGCGTCAGCAGTCTCGAGAAGCACGCCGATCTCCAACGATACCGAGAGGAGAAGAATTCTTTCTGGCCTGATCTTAAGGAGCTAAAGAATGAGTGGCTTTGGACTGTTGTTGGTGCTGGTGTTGCTGGCGCGCTTATTGAACAGGGCATCCATCAGTTCTTGTAGGTACTGCGTTGGGTAGGATGTGGAGTAAGCCAATAAGTTGAAAATGAAAAGGAAAGCTCTGAGGCAGATCCCTTCCTAATGAAGCTGGATGTGGAAATTTCGATGGCAACCTAGGTGAGATTGGAAGTTCCGTTAACGTCAAATCTCGAAGGGAATATGTATCACATAGAGCTCGCGGTTCTGTGTGAGCCAGCAGAGGAGAGATCACAAGTCAGCGTATCTAAGGTCAAATCTATGCTCATGAGAATATAACCATTTTGCAAAATGACTTCATTTTCCACAGCTTGAACTTTCATCCTGCAATCATGAAATCTGCAGCCTACTTTAGTAGTCGACACGGCGACCCCAACACTTCATCTCAGTGACTTCGTTATCCTGGCATCGCATCTTTGGAAGAATTTGTTGTGCCAGAATAGTTGGCGTACCGCGACGCGAGCGCACTACTTTCGCGTTAGCCAATTATACCCCAAGCGTAATGCTTAGTTCTGAAATTCAAAGGTTTCCTTCCTTTTGGCTCCCACATACGACCTTTTCCATTGTCAGCCGCGAGCTTGTGTCACAATGAGAGGATGTGAGCTGCAGAATACTGTTTTGGTATGACACCATGGTCTTGTCTGTACCTAGTGCAGATGCAATTTCTTTGATCCCGCAATATGATTGGTTCTTGAGCGACACAGCCCAATACATGCGCCTAGGCAGTGACTCAGGTCGATGGATCAGGCAGATAGAACCTTGCGTTCCTGAAGGTCCCATATTAACCTTCGCTGGCAACGAGACTTGAAGCAAGTAAACGTAGGTCTTGTCTCCTTCCCATAATTTCTATGATGCCCAAGTCAAGTACGTCTACCAGAATATCGAAGGGCGATCAGAAACGCCGCGGGACAACTCGTAAACCCAAAAGCAAGAAACCAGCATTGTCGCAAAAGCTGCTTACGGATGGCGTCGAAGGTCAGATATCTTCTCCTCCCGTCTACTTTTGGAAGCCGCACGAAGATTGGGGATTCCTTGGGCAGTGGTATATTGCTCCGATGACTGATCGTGAGACCGGGGTGCAATTCAACTGTTGCGAGCAGTACATGATGTACCACAAGGCCGTGACATTTAAAGATCAGGAATTGGAACTGAGGATCATGGATGAGACAGATCCGCGGATGCTCAAGGCGCTGGGTAGGAAAATTTCTGGTTTTACGGAGGATAAATGGAATGAAGTCAAATTCGACATTGTTGTAAGAGCGAACATGATGAAGTTCACACAAGCTCAGGCACTACAAGAGGACGAATTTGTGAAGTCAATAGCGGAGCATGCAGAGGGCCAGGAGCCTCCGAGTCTGAGATCACTGTTGTTGGCTACAGGGGACAGAGAAATAGTTGAGGCAAGCAGCCGTGATAGGATTTGGGGCATTGGATTTGCGGCGAAACAGGCTGAAAAGCAACCAAGGTCTAAGTGTGGCAAGAACCTGCTTGGAAAGGCTCTGATGGAAGTGAGGAAGAGGTTGAGAGAGGAGGAGCAGAGCAAGATTTAGTTGACGAGAGCATTGTTGGCGGTGTTTTGAATTGTTGTTTTGTACGAAATTGTTCCATCTTGGTTGCAGAATGAAAGTGGCATAAAGAGCACGTTGATTTGTTGAAACTGAAGTCCTTAGACAGTACACAATGCTATGACCGGTACAAACATGGCTTACTAAGGATGTCTCTGGTGTTGAAAAGCGCACATTTGCTTAAAAAGTACATGGTGCACCCTAGTTCCATCTATGGCGCCAAAAAAGAAAATCGTCCCTCGCAACTGTGAAGGGATAAGTCACAAAAGCAAAAGAAAACTGCATCGGCCGGGAATCGAACCCGGGTCTAGTCGATGGCAACGACCAATTCTACCACTGAACCACCGATGCTGGTTGTGTGCCAATTATGAGAATATTTTCATTGATTTAATACTCAATGCTTTGTAAAAAGTGTCATGTGTGGAGCACTTTGGCGGCCAGTGTTCAGATCTCGATCAGTAAAGCTTGAATTTCACTAGTGCCGGAGACCTCGAAGATAATACGATAACCAGGCCAAGTTGGGCACTGTCAATAAAAGAGCAAGACGACGAGCCGTGTCTCGTGATAACTGTTCCGTGCTTGTGTTCCTGTTTGTAATGGCGCGACTGTCTATTCTTTATCTGTAAGCTTTCTCACCTTGATGTACGGCTTCGTTGTAGTGTCGATACTTTGACGATGGCGCAGGACGATCGACCTCTCCTCGCCCGAGCCGACTCTCAAGATTCATACCGTGAAGCGAACGAAGAAGATGCACTGTTGACTGGTCAAGCAACAGACAAGCCAGAACCCTCACAATGGAAGAAATACCGCGAAACTGTGCTTAGCCTATACTCCATACTTGCTACAATAGCGATCGTTGCGCTTGCAATTGTTGTCAACC